AGCTCAGTTTTTGAAAGGTTGAGTTTTAAGAAGTGTTGCGACATCCAGACTGATATGTCAGTTAGTAGATTAGTGACACGCAAGGACACTGAGGAGGTGAGTTGTGGAGTAGAAAGATAGATTTGAGTGCCATCGACATAGAGATGGTATTGGAAGCCATGTGAGGTTATTAACTGACCAAGGGAGGAGGTGTAGATAGAGAAGAGAAGGGGTCCAAGGACAGAGGCTTGGGGGACCCCTAGAGGAAGAGAATGGGAGGAGTTAGAGTTGTAGGTGACGCTAAAGGAGCGCTTAGATAGGTAGGAGGAGAACCACGAAAGAGCAGAGTATTGTAGCCCAAGTGAGTGGAGTTTTTTGAGGAAGAGCGGGTGGTCAACAGTGTCAAAAGCAGCAGAAAGGTCTAGTAGCAAGAGTAGGGAATAGTGGCCATTGTTTTTAACTGTTAGTAAGTCATTAGTGAGTTTTAGGAGGGAGGTTTCAGTGGAGTGTAGGGGGAGTAGTGTAGGGTAGGGTAGCATAGGGTAGGGTAGCATAGGGCAGAATAGAGTAGCGTAGGGCAGAATAGAGTAGCGTAGAGCAGAATAGAGTAGCGTGGGGCAGAATAGAGTAGCGTGGGGCAGAATAGAGTAGCGTGGGGCAGAATAGAGTAGCGTGGGGCAGAATAGAGTAGCGTGGGGCAGAATAGAGTAGCGTGGGGCAGAATAGAGTAGCGTGGGGTAGGATAGAGGAGCGTGGGGTAGAATAGAGTAGCGTGGGGCAGAATAGAGTAGCGTGGGGCAGAATAGAGTAGCGTGGGGCAGAATAGAGTAGCGTGGGGCAGAATAGAGTAGCGTGGGGCAGAATAGAGTAGCGTGGGGTAGAATAGAGTAGCGTGGGGTAGAATATAGTAGCGTAGGGTAGGGTAGGGTAGTGTAGTGTAGATCAGAGTAGAGTAGTGTAGGGCTGCTTTCCAGCTGAAGCAGCTGCATGTCCCTTTGTAGAGGTTCACAAGTAGTGATGTGCATGGGCTTGGTGTGAACCCAGGTCGCCAGAGTTCATCCAAGCCCCTGCAAAACTGTCAGTGATACATTTCCCACCTCCCAACCCAATAAGTTGTGTCTGGGACATTGTCCACCGCTTTGTGGGGGCTGGGCTGGGAAAGGGGGTGTCACTGACAGTTTTACATGGGATTGGGTGAGCTCCGGTGAACTGGGTTTGCACAATAAGAAAAACTGACTGTAAGAGGCTACAAACATACAAAAGTGGATGATTAGAGACTGCGAACATACTGCATGAGGTGTTGGAGACTGGGGAAATGCTTCAAGTAGTATTACTCTCAAACATTTTTTTGAACACTGAATCCAGGAAAAGGGATGGAAGCAGAATATTTTAAAGTGGACCTTTACCCCTTTGAGTAACAATCACATCAGCATACAGCTCTACATGCTGATATATAAAATCATCCTACATTAGCTAAACAAACATATTTTTATTTTACTTCTAATATCTTTTTTTCCCACTTCCTGGTTCACTTTGGCACAGATGATGTAATGTGCCCTTGTTGCATCCTGGGAAGGTTAAATCAGCAGAGCATTGCTGGGAAATCTCATCTGTAATCTCATGAGATCTCAGGGAACGGCATTTTCCTCCCTTAAGGATGTGTATGGTCACAGTCCTCGTCACATGTGCCAGAGTTCCAGGAAGTAAAGAGAGATCTAGTAACCTGCCCTTAGTTATAATGAACACTGCCAGAAGACTGGGGAAGAAAAAAGTGCAAGAATACAAAGCCTGCAATTATATAGAAGTTTATGTTTGTAGATTATCATTACTAAACATTTCTAAGGCCTTGTTCACACCAAATGCAGAGCAGATCCGGTCAGGTTTCTGCACACGCAGGCAAGTCTTTTAGATGCGTTTTTGACTCGTTTTTGGCACACACAAAAATATATACATATATATATATATATTTTTTAAAGTTTAAAATGGGTTTTCAGTGCGTTCCAGGCATTTGCATGCATTTTTGATGCGTTTGCAGATCCAGAGCAGGTAAAATAGGGCCTGCTGCAGTTTTTTTACCTGCTCTGGACCTGCACGCTGCGATGTGAACTGGAGCTAAAAATACCATAGGAATACATTGGACGCAGTTTTGATCCGGTCTGCAACTGATCTGCTCTGCACCTGCTCCGCGATTGGTGTGAACAAGGCCTTAAGGTGTGTTTGTTGTTATTTTGAAGATATGAGTGAAGTTCCTTTTAAGCACCTAGGTAAGGAAAACACAGACTACCATCTGCAGTGGTCCAGAGGGCTGCACAATAGGTGGCAAAGGGCCCCAGGGGGCTGCATGCGCACACCAGGAGCTTATGGTATAAATTAGATGACAATAGGGCACTGCAAGTTCATGGCCACAGCATTGCACACATATGGATTAATTATTTTTTCTTTTCTGGGTTTCAGTGGAAGGTCCATATTATTTTTTGACATCATGATACTGAGTATAGAGTGTTAGGTTATTTTACCTGAGCAGAATAAAAAAAAAAAAAAAACACCCCTCCATGAAAAAGGTGCGCACTTCACCAAGTCCTTTACAAACGGCATTACAAATTACGGTACCTTGGGTGAGTTAATCCTGTGCAATAAATCACTTTCTAATAGGTGAACGTCCTTTATTTGACTTTTCTGCTTGTATGTTCTCTGTTATCTGAATCAGCAGTGGTTTATTTCAGTTCTCTGTTCACCAAACAGCAGTATTATAGAGGTCACTGTATATAGCTCTTAACAAGATCTTTAAATGGACTTCCATGTTCAGTACTCAGCACTTTGTGTGCGCTCATATGTGAAGCTGTGTGATGTGCATATATTTAAATCCTGTTACATATGCATGGCTGAGTTTAATACATTTTTGACATCTGTATAATTTGCATTATTTTACTATTTCTATGCTTCATATTTGATAGAAGATTGTATTGTTAAAGCAGAACTCCAGCCAAGAATAACAAGATATAAACAAATAGCCTATTAAAGGTTCGTTAATACCATGTGCAGAGACCTGCGTTTTTCAGTACACGATCAATGCAGGTTTCTGCAAGGACACATACAAAAAAAACTTCTGCATGCTACCTTCACACCACAACTGAGCAAGGAGATGCAGAGCAGAGAGGATCGAGGAAAGGAATCATGTCTGTATTTTTCTGCAATGCACATGTTTGCATGTAAAACACATATAAGCACAATGTAACTGAAAGGAGAATCAAAGCAAGCAAGTTAGGAGACTGTAAATAGAGAATGCATAAAAAAGAAGCAAAGTAATGGATGTCAGCATGCATAAAAATGCACTGAAACGTCCACGTAAACACGTATGCACGTCAACTCACTTGTGTTTTTTATGCACGTTATAGTGTGAACTTTACTTTCTTCCACCCCTAAAAGATAAAAAAACTAAACCAGCTTATGCTGCACTATTCAACTTCAATCTAGAAATTTCCCCTGCAGTATTTTTTTTTGCCACTAGATGCCTTCAGTCTGTTGGCCCGCTTCATTCAACCCACCTCCTCTAAGCCCAAGTCATCCTGGACCCGCCCCATCCTGTGACTTGATAGTGAAAGGAGAAGCAGAATAGGGATGAGCTCATCCCTCTGTAACTACAATTTCTCTCCCTATCAGTATGTTTCTCGTCAGCTCAATAACTGATTCCTTGTACTTCCTTTTGTACTTACACTGCTTATACTATGTATTAAAGTAGAATTTAAACCTTCCTTTTTTTGGCATATATCTACTTCTAGCAAGTAGATATATGAAAAAACATTAAAAATGAAAAAAGTCACCAAAAAGGTTATTACTTACCTGTGTCTCCGCCGCTCGCTCCCGTCCGAAGATCCGAAAAATTCACAAGCTGCGTGAAGGATCATGGAGCGGGTGCATCCGCAGTAGAGATCTTCTGCTGGGAGAAGAGGAGAGACACAGGGTAAGTCAATGCAGGCAGCCCAGCAGTGTGCACGCACACAGACTCCGTGGGACAGGAAAACACAGCAATCAGCGCTGGATCAGAGACCGGCACCAGCGCTGGAGGGACTCCTGAAAACTACTGGAAAGAAGATGATCGGATCAAGAGGCATCATTTAAGGTAAGTCCTTAAAGCAGCATGGGGGGGGGGGGATTTTAGACTTTAATGTCACTTTAATGTTTACGGAGCTGCATTAATTGGTGCAATGTAAAAATAAATGAGCACTAATGAAGGGTGTGCCATGTGTGTGCTGCAGCCTTCTGTAAAAATCTTACTTTCTTTCACCGCGGACAGTAATGTAAGTGCCAAATATCCGACACTTACACTTTTAGCTGGAGTACTGATCATAGCGGATTGCTCATCCATTGACAAAATGTTTTGCATTCTTTTCACAGAATGCAAGAAATTCAGTGAATGGAGGAGGCGCAGATGAACATCACGTTCTCTCCTCCTCCATTCACAGAACGCCTTCAAAGTCTTGCACTGAGACTTCATTCACATGCAATCTGTCTAGAGACAATCATCTATACCAAACCGCAGATAATCGTTCCATGTATGATTACATGCGGACTAATGCTCACATATGTGGCCGCTGTCACCCTGTCATTAACTTAAACGCACTCCAGCCAGAACTGTAAGTCTCAGCACTGAAAGTTCAGCGCTTCCTATACTGTACAGGGTATTTAAAAATAAGAGTTTTACATACCACTGCAGCATAAACACATAATCAGTGCTCACTTATTTATACAGTGCACATGTCCAAATATTGTTTTTGGCCAGAGTCCAGCTGTAAATTCAAATGTAGATTTAAAATATTTTTTTCTCAAAGAGGTGTAGGATTGAACTAAGTAAAGTATAGTTACATCATTCTGATCATTTCCTTGGCTTTAGATATGCCTTAAATCTGCATTGATATTCTAGAGAACACAGTTCACCTTCCCACTTGATGTCTCTTATATCACACATTATCAGCATTATGTTTTGACTTCGTAATTCTTGTGTCTAATTTCATTTACAACAGGCAAGAAAATATGGAAGTGGATGTTTCCAAGTTTAACATTGACGCTCCAAGATGGGATCAGATTACCTTCACTGGTCGCTTGAAGCACTTCTTCAACATTACTGACCCCAGGACGGTGGTTGTGTCTGAGCAAGAGCTGGACAGAGCTAAGGTGCTTGTTGAGGCTTGCAGGTAATTGCAAAGTGCTTTTTCCCCCCTCTATCATCATATAAACATAACACTGGGAATACATTGGATCAGCCATCCTCCACTGTTTTGCCCTGGAGGAACCCTTGACAAAAATCTTCTTATCTCTGGGTACTACTGACATTTTCTCATCTGTGAGTTGGAGATATAACAATAAATATGTAGATATAACAATAAATAAAATAAATAGTAACAATATGTGCAGCACACTTTTTTTGTGCAGGAGAGAGCTGAACACTTACTTGCTGTGTAGAAATTGTCACCCCCTCTGTCGGTGGTGTCACTGGGAGGAAAATGCCCCTGTGTTAGGTGGTATCACTGGGAGGAAAATGCCCCTGTGTTAGGTGGTATCACTGGGAGGAAAATGCCCCTGTGTTAGGTGGCTTCACTGGGAGGAAAAATGCCCCTGTGTTAGGTGGCCTCACTGGGAGGAAAAATGCCCCTGTGTTAGGTGGCTTCACTGGGAGGAAAAATGCCCCTGTGTTAGGTGGTTTCACTTGGAGGAAAAATGCCCCTGTGTTAGGTGGTATCACTGGGAGGAAAATGCCCCTGTGTCGGTGATGTCACTGGGAGGAAAAATGACACTGTGACGGTGGTGGCACTAGGAAGAAAAATACCCCTGTGTCGGTGATATCTCTGGGAGGAAAATACCAGCCCTTGGTGTAGTCACTGAGAGAAAAACTGCCTTGGTGCCCATGTCTGTGGGATAAAGGGAGGGGGGCTGAGAGGCTCTCCGTGCTAGGCTAAAGCCAACAATTTCCCAGCTATGGTAATATAATATTAAGCAGCAGGAGATAGAGGTTGGTAAACAAGCAGAGATTCTGTAGGCTTTGATGCACTACCTGTACTGTAAGTCAAGGCTGGTTTTATAATCACTTTCATATTCAAGCATATCACATTTCTAAGGCTGAAAATGGAAAACAGTTCTATAAACTCCTTTCTTGCTTTTGCTGTGATGGAAGATCTGAAAAATCTGCAGGATCTTCTACAGTCTGCAGCTTTGGGATCTGAAAGTGAAACTCACCCTAAAGCAGTCTCTGCTCATAGAACAGACAAGGCGCTCTTCACAGCACAGCTTGCTCTGCAGGAATCAACATAAATGTGCCAAAATAAATGTGAGAGTAACTTTTATGAAAGTGTACTTGTAATGGAAGCCAACAGAACAATTAGCCCTGCACCTACCTACTGTTATCGGCACCTACAGCATCCCAGGATCATGGAATCCCAGTGTCACAGGAGCGCTAAAATCAATCTCAGCTCCTAGGACAGAGGAGCCACATTTTGAGTCCTGCAGTGTGACACCAGAAGCTGGTTCTGGCTGATATCAACCTGCCCAGCAGAAGCCTTTTAATGATATCTGCAGGGGGAACAGTAAAACCACTATTGAACATATATATATCTGCTGCAATGTCGGCAGAACCTCTGGGGACGTAACGTGGAAACCTGGGTGAGAAACCTTGTTCACGTGGAACCCTGGCTGAGAAACCTTCAACCTTGATCAGGGGTAGGCAGCCTTGGCACTTCAGCTGTGGTGGAACTATAAGGCATTGCAAGACTGATAGCCACAAGCATGTTTACCAGAAGTATCATAGAATTTGTAGTTTTACCACAGCTGGAGTGCCAAGGTTGCCTATGCCTGCGTTAGATGAATGGTGTGTATTTTTTGGATTATTTTTTAAAATGTTGTGCACAGATGCATGATAGTTTCATAAAATAATCCTATAGGAAATGTCACTACAAGCTTATAAGGACAGAACTAAACTCTTCTAAGCACTAAATGTGTAAATGTAAACCCCATGATCGTTTCTCTCTGCGCCCTTCTGTTTCATTGTTAGTATTTCAATCAGATTTAAACCTGCACTGGAAAATAACAGTTGGATAGTTATGGGAGCGTAATGGAAATTAATTTTTTATATATATTGTAAAAAGAACAATCACTCTGTGCTACAAATAGATACAATTAAAGTTCCAAATTAAAAAGAAATAGGATGTAAAAGCGGGTGAAAGGTGATATTAATGGCCAGCCATTATTCACTTACAGTTGACCCCTAAAGTCAGGAGCTGATTTTAGGTCCACTTGACCCCCATACCATCTGTAAAACCTAAAAAGAGCACCCAAATACTTACCTGTTATTCGGAGTCGTCTCCCTTTGTTTCAGGCAGACCGTGATTCTTCGCTACTTTCATTGCCTAACAGCGGCTGATTGACTGGAATGGTAAGTGGCAGAGGCATTGATTGACAGATGCAGACAGTCAATGACTCTCACAGTTTCAGCTTTAGACTGGATGTAGTTGGCATTCAGGAGCCTGCGGGGACCCAGAATAAGACTGCTTCACGTGAAAGGTAAGTATTTGGGTCCCTTTTTCAGGTTTTACAGGCCAGGAGCAATCTAGGATGCATGCAGACATTAAAGTATACCAAGTTTCATATATTTCAGTGTACGAGTTCACAGATGTGCTGTCTGTATTAGTTTTCATTTTTCAGGTCATGTTTATTTTTTTGTAAGTCCAAAAAGAAAAAAATTTAATCCAGGTAGAAATGCAGTGTTCTTCCTATAACCTAAAATGAAAACTCCAACAATTTTATTAGCTTTCTCAGATATATTCTGTAAACTACAACCCCCCTATCCATGTAATGAACACAAGGACAGGGGGAGGTGTGTATAGTCCAAACCAGCAGAGCAGGGTGACGTCCGTAGACTCACTACAGTAAGTGAGCCTCACCCTAGGAAGGAAGTGTGTTACCTGCAGGATTACCAGGTGACAAAAGGGAAAAATAGCTTGGAAAAAATAATGAAGCCACCACATCTAAGGATTGGTACTTTACAATATATTACATTTTTGGTTTTAGTTTAGGTACACTTTGTGTCTATTTATAAAAAATTGCAGAGCCCTTTGGCCTGTGAATCTCTGTGAACCTTCATTCTGTCTGAGTCAAATGTAGTGTAATACTGCACTATGGTGCCAAGAGCATAGGAAATACAGGTGAAACTCGAATAATTAGAATATCGTGCAAAACCAAGGACCCAGAGTATGGAGGAAGAATGGAGAGGCACACACTGCAAGATGCTTGAAGTCCAGTATGAAGTTTCCACAGTCTGTGTTGATTTGGGGAGCCATGTCATCTGCTAGTGTTGGTCCACTGTGCTTCATTAAGTCCAGGGTCAACGCAGCCGTCTACCAGGAGATTTTGGAGCACTTCATGCTTCCTTCCGCAGACGAGCTCTATGGGGATGCTGACTTCATTTTCCAGCAGGACTTGGCACCTGCCCACACTGCCAAAAGCACCAAAACCTGGTTCAATGACCGTGGGATTACTGTGCTTGATTGGCCAGCAAACTCGCCTGACCTGAACCCCATAGAGAATCTATGGGGCATTGCCAAGAGAAAGATGAGAGACATGAGACCGAACAATGCAGAAGAGCTTAAGGCCGCTATTGAAGCATCCTGGTCTTCCATAACACCTCAGCAGTCCCACAGGCTGATAGCTTCCATGCCACGCCGCATTGAGGCAGTAATTGCTGCAAAAGGGGCCCAAACCAAGTACTGAGTACATATGCATGCTTATAGTTTTCAGAGGTCCGATATTGTTCTATGTACAATCCTTGTTTTATTGATTGCATGTAATATTCTAATTTTCTGAGACTGTGGATTTGGGGTTTTCATGAGCTGTAAGCCATAATCATCACAATTATGACAAATCACGGCTTGAACTATCTTGCTTTGCATGGAATGAGTCTATCTCATGTATTAGTTTCACCTTTTAAGTTGCATTAGTGAAATAAATGACCTTTTGCATGATATTCTAATTATTCCAGTTTCACATGTAATTATTTATTTCTTATAGCTCCATCTAGTGGCCAAAATGCGGTATTACATTACATTTGACCCTAAAAGAAAGCGCGTTTAACAATATCTTCTTTTGCACAGAACACATTTTTACAAAGATATGCAGGGTGAATGGTTCTGCAAATTGTTTATAAACAGACCCCTCTAAGTCAGTGTCTCACATAAGGTCCACTTTAACTGCACAGTCTACTGAGAGCACCAAGATGGATGGGCAGTGGGATGGAAGTGGAACAGTGTGTCAGCCCTCGGCACTTGGGTAGCACCCCAATTTTTATTTTTATTTTTTTATATATGGTAAAAAAAACTCCAGTGTTTATTAAATACCACCAAACGAAAGTTCCATCCGTCTCCAAAAATGATATCAATTTTATTTTTAAAAAATTGTCAAATTCAAAGTGTCACAGCACGGAAAACAGAAAAATGACCTGGACAGGGAGGTGTAACATGCCAGTCCTCAAGTGGTTAAGGAGGCCCTTTGTGTACTAAATGGTGCAAATTCCCCGCACATTAACACTGCTTAAATCTGTTAGCTATGTTAGGATTGCAGTATTATTATTCTTAGTATACAGAATGTGTATAGCGCCAACAGTTTGCGCAGCGCTTTACAATATAAGGAAGACATTACAATCACAATACAAGACAAGATGGTGAGGAGGGCCCTGCCCCAGAGGGCTTACAATCTAAAAGGGGAAGAATGGAACGTAGACAGATTTCAGCTGCCTTTTTCCATGTACTGAGTAGAAAATTAGATCAAGCGTTTGGCTGGTTGCCGTAGGCTTTGGTTTGAATTTGCCAGGTTTTGCACAGCTCGCATCATTGTGGGCTGTGAAGAAATTAGAAAATCAGCAATGCCACTCAAGTTAGAAGCACTTCAATAGCAGCCTTCAAAATGACAACCTTAAAGTGACAATAAACTCAGATGGTAAATCCTAAAATACATTCAAGTACCCTAAATAATAACCTCCTTAACCATGGGGAACAAAAGTAGCCACCCTCCAGAATGAAGGACAGTGTCAGCACCAATTCACAGATTTGAGGATCTGCAGATAAGCGATACACGATCTACATTTTTGTTAATAGGTAAGGTACTTGAATGAATTTTAAGATTTAACTTCTGAGTTTAGTGTCACTTTAAAATCTGTTATGACTTTTTCAGAAACTGAAGCTGATGGGCAATTTGAAGCATTCTTTATTCCTATCTGCGGATGGTGTTCAGAGGGATGTAGATTTGTGTGTAGTTGTGCATAAAGGTGGCACCGATGTAGAACAATGCCAAGTGAAATCTTGCTGGTTACTATAGGCAGGCCAGGCAAATGTTCCTAACTCTTAATAATCAGCTCTAGCGGTTCAACATATATGGACAAAAAAATGAAAAAAAATGTTCTACATTTTAATATTATGCAACAATAAATTAAATGATTTAGTAGAATAAATGTTAAAGACGTGACAGTATTACAATTAGTTTTGCCTTTTTTTCATGTTAATGCAGGTAGATTGTTGCTAGGCAACGGGAGGACAGCTGGGTATCAAAACATCTCTGGTGGCTGGCACAGATCAATAAAGCTGTCAGATTTTAATGATCAGCTTTTTGTGTGAAATCCATTAAAAGGGCTCTGTCACTTAGGAAATTGGTTCTCGGCTAATGAAACTCCAACTCTCTTTAGGAAATAAAATGGCATTAACAGAGTCTTTTAGCTTATTTACTTTGCAAAATAGTAGCTCATAAAAACGGACCAGTTATTAGTCAGAGATGGCAACCAGGTGTGTGTTTACCATAGAATGACCCTTGCACATGCCAATCAAAAGGGGAATTTGACCTGCATTATTGAACCTTATTACAGTGCCTAAGTGATCAGAGGTCTTCTCCACTTTGCATAGTCACACTAGACTAACATGGGCCACAACATCTGTCTACATTGACGTTGTATGTGCCTTTCTTTGCCAGGAGATAAGAGATTGACGGAGAACCTTCAAACATGACTGGCGCATCTGGCCCTTGTGTGTATGTAAAAGACCTATTGATGTGCCTTCTGGCTTCCTCAAGGGTGCCTTGAAATTTTCACATCGTCATGCCTCCAATGAGAAGAGTGCTTCTGATGTGAAAAAGGGGGGGGGGGGGCTCTAATGTGAAGAGGGGCTCCTTGTGTGAGAAGGGCTCCTAATAAGAAGGTGGGCTCTTGATGTAAAGGGGGCCTTTGATGTGAAAGGAGGGACTCTGATGTAAAGCAGAATGTGAACCTCACTTTTTTTTGCGTTTTTGCCTGGGGTTCCCCCTTAAAAACCATACCTGGCCCCTTATCATGTATAAGGGTCTGATATGGGTTTTGAAGGGACCACACGTAATTTTTTATATTTATGGTTTTCACATATTAGTCTAGGGAGCCCCGAGATTTTGCATACTTTTAAAGGGGGCCATGACTGATAAAAGGTTGAGAAATGCTGCATCTATCTGTCTGTTAAACTCCTTGAATGGTCCTTCCCCTGACCTGCAATAGGCTTGGTTAGCAGAGATAGAAACATAGAAGACTTATGTCAGAAAAAGAACAAGTGGTCCATTAATTTTTACCTTCAAATTCATCTATGGTAGGCTGTGTGTATAAGACAACAGATAGCACATAAATGGGAATATTTCAACATTATGTAATTTATTCATAGGGGAAGAAGTGTAAACGACAAATAATAACGGCTATCCAGTCAGATACACTCCCCAAATTTGAAAAGATTTGGGATCCGTGGATCGTTTCTTATATGTCTCCCTATTTTCATTTAGAATCATTGGTCCTTTGAGGTCTTTGACCTGCCTCTGTCCCACATGTATGTCTCAAATGATGTCACTTGATTAGTTATTAGCCCGGTCCTTCTTTCCTACCCTCTATTACTCTTATATGCTCTTATCTTCTTCTCTACTCCCTTTTTCTTCTCAATACTCCACTTAGAGTCTCCCCCTTCCAGGCTTGCTTTTATAAGGGCCCTTTTCTTTGATTGATTATTTTTTGCTAAATATTTCAATTATATTGGAATATCCCCTGTTAGCCCGATAGGGCTTATATCAGGGGTAGCCAAACTCTGGCCCTCCAGCTGTGGTGGAACTACAAATCCCATGAGGCATTGCAAGACTCTGACAGCCACAGACATGACACCCGGAGAGAGATGCATCATGGGATTTGTAGTTTCACCACAGCTGGAGGGCTGGAGTTTGGCTACCCCTGGCTTATATGGTTGCAAACTGTAACTTCTGTTTGAACATGCAACCCTATTGGATTTGTACTTCCAAGTTGTGATACTATGTTGTATTTACGGTTTACTGTTTGAACATTTATGAAAATCAATAAACATTGATTGGAAAAAAAAAAAGACCAAAAGTAAAACCTACACATCTTCCTTTTAATGTGTAAAAGTCAATATAAAGCAAGTTTAATAATAGGAATGGGTACATCAAAAATATGTAAATCCAAAGGGAAACTTTTATTGTCTGAGACGAACCAAGAATAAAATAAGGGCTAGAAGGAAAATGACATTCACAAATTTATATAGACAGTTTGATAAAGAAATATTTTCTTTGTTAGTTGTTCCCAATGTATTGGACTGCATATGAGGAATGTACAACCCATGATAACATCCAGTATAGGAGACATGGGCGGTCAAGCCATACACATGGCAAATATTGGCAGAGAGAGCTGAGAATGGATGTAGCATGGATGGCACTGTGTAGCCAGCTTTATTTGTAGCAAGCCATCATATTTGCTTTCATTTTCTAGCCTGCGATAAGGAAATCTGGAATCAGGTTGGTTGCATTCAGCTGTAAATTTCCAGTGTTCTCATTGTGTTGTTAAAATCCCATCAGTACCGTGAAAAATGCTAAAGAATATATTTTGCAGTTGTTATTATTAACAGTTAATATATTTAGGAATATTCAGCTTCAACTGCTGAAATCTCTGCAAGCTTAATTTAAGAATTTCCTTTCACCTAATAATAATGTTCAGATGGCTCTCCTCATAAATCAAATTTTCTCAGTTAAAACATTTTCCAATCTTCTCACTTTCTAATCCTTTCAAGTCTTTTTCTTTTCTGTTGTTAAAGCTCAACGCCAGGATAATCGCTAAAATCTCGGCATGCAGCCGCCCTGATTGGCTACCTGTGTTGCCCCCCTCCCAGTCTGAGTCCTCCTGTGCTGGGGATTCCAAGACACTAATACAAAGTCAACCTCGGGTACTTATACTAGCTGCATCTAAGAATACATTTAACGATTCATTAATACAGAGATGTATTCATTTGTGTCTTTTAGATTTACTTGGATTTGAGCTTTAATTACAAACTTTCTTTCCCAATAACTCCTGGCCTTGCACCGTATTCAGAGTACCTTTTATGTTATTTTCCATTCTCTCAATGTTACTTCTCCTCTGTGAAGTCACTTCCTGCTTTGTTGTGTCTTTATACAACCAGTATTGACTATTTTGTTAAAATTTTATTTTCTAAATTCCCCCATCCACACTAACAGCGTGGATGGGAAAAGTCACCCGCCACTGTCCGAATACCCAGACAGTGACTCAGCTGACTGGCTGCTGTCACTGTTCGGGCGAAATATTTCAGACTGTATGTGTATGTATGTGTGTGTGTGTAGATCACGGAGTCTGGGCTTAAAGCAGAACGCTGGGCAAATCAAATCTTAACCCTTGCAGTGGGTCTACCCCAGCACTGCAAGGGTTAAGTGTTAATTCTGTCTAGGGAGATAAACTACCAAAGTTATACACACCTAAACCACGATCCCGGCTTGCTTTTTAGATTGGTCCCTTCAGCCTGTCTCCTCCTGTGCTCCAGCGCTCTAAGGTCCTGTGAGTTATCACATCCTATACAGTGTATTTAACATGCGGATGTCAAGGAGGAGACAGGCTGGAGGGAGCGGTGTAGTAGCCATTTGGGATTGCGGTTTGGGTGAGTATAACTTTTGTTATTTTAGCTCCCTAGATAAAATGAGCACTTAACCCTTTCAGTTTGAGGGTAGCCTCACTGCAAGGGTTAAGATTTGATTGGGCCGGTGTTCTATCGAAAGCTCCAACTCATCGAGATCTCTAACTACCTCACTTCCGGTGCTCAGAAAGACTGGAGCTCTGTACAGTTGCGGTGTGCATGCGCGCATAGCATTTTCAGAATACTTGTCGAGTTTGCCACCTGCTGAGTTGTGTTAAAACGCAGCTGTACAGAGCCTAGTCAGTCTTTGTGTTTTGCAGTCTAATGCGGTCTGGTCGAAATCTCCAACTTGCAAGTACCCGGCGGTGAGGTAGTTTACCTTACTGTTGCAGATCAGGAAAATAGAGTATATATTTGTTCATATTGTTAACGCCATCTTTTATAAATTACAACTCCCTTGTTTTGATGATTATGGCAGTATATGTATTACTGAAGACACCGATTAGACTGTGTGTTCTGTGTTCAGAGCAGGCGGCACTCCACCGGGCACCAGCATAGAACAACTGCACTATGCCAAGAAGCTGTACGACTCTGCCTTCCACCCTGACACCGGAGATAAGATGAACCTGATCGGAAGAATGTCTTTCCAGGTCCCAGGAGGAATGGCAATCACTGGCTGTATGCTGCAGTTTTACAGGTATCATTTTGTAGTATTTTACATGTGTGATGCTTATCGTGGGGTTTGTGTAATGCTGTCCACGCCTACAGCAGCGGGAAAGTGGGAACGTCATTCACGTACCATCTAATGTGGGCCGGTGTGCATCTCCCTATTCGAAACTCTTGATGATCAGCTGAGTTTAAAAGAGCAGCTTTTAGGTGTCAGCACCTCTTGAAGCTGCTTAATCATTTGTAGATTTCACACACATGAATCCATACAGAATCCACGTTTCAATGTTAACAAATCACATTAATACGAGTATTATTTTTACTTTCTTGTCAGACAAAAAAAAAGACACACTTTTCTCAAGCTTTAGCATGTGATCCAATGCAATTATACGCACATGTCCCAATCACCGCTCAGGTTCCTGCACCTCACTCCAGCTGCAAGTACAGGCAAATCTCCGGGCTGCACAGAAGAGCTGCACATAGCTTCCCCTTCTACCTGCAAAGCTTTATTGAACAATAAGTAACTGACACGCCACCCATGCCCTCCCACTAATGCGTTTTGCCCCTATTAAAGCTTAACGGTAAAGTCGGTGGTTGGGGGGGATAGAAATATGTATACATATGCAAGGAAGCTCCCACATACTTCTTAAAGGGACACAGTACCACATGTATATATTATATAATTATCATAAATTGATATAACCACTCACAAATCTATATTCCTTAAAGAACAACTCCAATTAAAACCCGCACAGCAAGGGTTAACTGTTCTTTTTGCACAGGGTCCAAAATAACAAAGTTAGACTCACTCAAACCTCCGAGCCGGCTGGCTGTGACAGTGCTCCCTCCTGCCTGCCCCCTCTTCTACTGCAGCAATGGAATGTCCCTCTGCATCCTCATGTTCTACACAGTTTATTATATAGAACATGAGGATCCTTAGACTGCTGCAGCCAGGGTTGGATTTATTCTCTCTGCTGCCCCAAGGCCAGGTTCTTCAATGTGCCCCCTCCCTGCCAAATCCAAGGGTTGGTGTTGATTGTTTTTTATTTTATTTTTTTCACTTTTTTTATCGTTTTTTAAATTTTTTAAATTTTGATATCGCCAAAATCACTTGTACAAAACGAACCGCTCTACATTTAGCTCTGCTTGCCCAAAGCAGGGCTGAATGTAGAAAAAACTACCTGCCCAGCGGAACTGCATGTTCCGGGAGTTGGGAGATAATAATTCCACACCCCCTGCTGCCCCTATGCTCCCTGCTGCCCTAAGTCCAGGCCTCGGTTGGCCTTGTGGGAAATCCGGGCCTGGCTGCAGCGGAAGGGGAGAGAGGCTGGAAGAACTGGTCTAAGACATAGCTGGCTCAGAGAATCGGGTAAGTATAACTTTTTTATTTTTACCCTAGGCAAAAATGAGTGGTTAACCCTTGCACTGCAGGGGTATCCCCACTGCAAGGGTTAATGCAAGTTTTAACTGGAGTTCTACTTTAATACCATTATTACCACCACCACCACCCAGTAAAAACACCCACCTTTATTGCCTAATATTAAATAAAATATAAGATCAATATATGACTCTTAAGCTGGCATGCTCCTGCTGACTTGGCCAAAATTCCAGCAGTGTGCGGCCCTTCTGGCACCACTCCCTTTGACCAAAGCTAATTTTTCAATTGGATCAAGTCCAAAATAAGCTGCAGTCACTGTTCGTGTATTCTGACAGCTACGGGTGTCGGCTGTCAGAATACAACAGCAGGCAAAGGGAGATTGCCCCATCCATGCTGTTTAGCATGGATAGGGGAATCAAGTGCTTTTTCTTGAATGAGAAAACATGACTAGTGTATGGCCAGCTTTATAACACTAAATGACACAACATTCTCACAAGCAGTCTATGTCGCTGCTTGTTTACCTGAGCTTTGCATGCAGAAGAGAAAGCAGTCTGCCTTTCTGTTTGTGTGACTTAACACCAAGGCAAAAGATCACATGGTTCCTAGCTACCATGTACATTGTTGTGTTTTACATCATCAGAATGTGCAGAGTCTTTTGTGTTCAGTCAGACAGCCCCTGACTTATAGGCTTGCAGCCAGATAACAGGGCCGGCGAGGCACAATATTTTGCAACACCACTAAACAAAAATCATAGCCAACATATGCAATGTAAAAATAAGGCCGTCCTTATGTACATTTATATTTACAAATTAAATGCAGAAATTGTTTTGTTTTTTTATTACTTTCACATGCTTTCCTAAAAATGATAAGGGAAGAAGATCTCTTACACAAGCATCCAGAAAAACATTCCAAAAACACCACTAATGATCCTGCAAACACATCTAGATCCAGTATTTGTCAGTGGCTCTTGATCCCCATTAGCTGACATGAGTGGGAGTAATGGGTCCTGTAAAGCGAAACCTGTCATCTGTGCTTCACTAATGATGCAGGTTATAAATCTACAGATATATAGTATGGGAAGCCTTCATGTATACCCAGCTGCTTGTCAGATGTGTCTGCAGAGGTCCAGTCTCAGGGGCCTGTTAATCATTACCTGGGAGAACACTTCCAGGCTTGTTATAACAATGTGCATGAGCCGGATTTAACATAAGATATATAGTTACAAAAAAGGAATATACCTTTCTACTGGCTCAGCAGACTCTATGAATGCCTGTCTTTTAAGATAACAGATAGGATTCTAGATCATAGTGCTTCTGACTTTTAATGTTCATACCTAAGGGATAGTTGGTACCTCTGTGGCTGAAATAATTAAAGTGAACCTGTCAGGGGGCCCTGTTAATCATTATAGCCTAGGTTCCCAGTCAGTGCTCATAACTGCTGTTTCTCAGCTCTTGGAAGTGATGCTAGCATAACTCACAGTTGTCCCTCTTTCCAATCCAAATCCCTCTTGTTATTTTTTTTGTATTATTATGATTATTATTTTATTTTAATATTATTTATTTCAGAATTTACATTTACAGAAAAACTTTACATTAAAAGAAAAAAAAACACCCCACTGTATCCTTTCACTTAGGGGTCTACTTGTAAACTATCTGCCTTGTGAATATCTGTGACTCATGGTTCTGTGTGGATATTTGCCACAACATTCTTTAGTTGTTTGTTTACAAGACAATTTTGTAAAAAAATGTAGCACCACATTACAGCCACGAGATGGCGCTAAAGGGCATTGAAAATAAACACTTATTTCTGATTCTCCTTTAGCTTCATCTAGCGGCTATAATGCGAAATTACATGAAAACATTTGAAAATTAATTGCACTTGTAAAGAGAAAAATAAGGAAGGTTCATTTTGGCATATATTCTCACAGAGCAAACGGCCCTGTGAATTGTTTGTAAATAGACCCCTTAAAGTATCATTTACCAAACCATTTTTTAGTTTTGGGTACACTAGGAAAGGGTAAAACACCTATCCTTTTATAATTTACTGTTTGTGTAACATTGGTAAAAAAGTTAGAAGAAATCTCCCAAAGTGAGGGGGCTGCCCTTCTTAAGCAGATGTCCATGAAACAGGTGTCCCTTTGAAAGATTTCCCCTCACCTCCTGTTCTGGGGACAACTTTAGGATTTTAGATTTCTCCTTCACTTTCTTTTTTGAAAACAATGATCAGCAGGACAAAGAGCAAGGTGAATCTCCCCAATGGGTACACAGACCGCAATGCACTCTTGACAGGTGGTCCAACCCTTCCCCACTGTATCCCTAAAAAAATAAATTTTAAGGTTCTTCTTGGATCAAAGAACATTGGAGTGCAGTAGCTCATAAAAGCCAATCACAAAGCAGTTTAGGATGGATAATGAAATGAAAACTAGACTGTGATTGGTCGCTATGTTCTTTTGCAGTATGAAATAAACCTACCAATGTTTTTCGGCAGTTTTGTTGTACAGAAATCAGTGTTTCCAGTCTCTTCTAATTCTTTTTTTGTTGAAATATTTAAACAGGACTGTTCCCGCTGTGGTGTTTTGGCAATGGGTTAATCAGTCGTTTAACGCACTTGTAAATTATACCAATCGGAATGCAGCATCTCCCATCACACTTGGGTAAGTTTTGTTTAGCTTGTTTTGGTCACCTTTTATCTCATGTGCTCAGTGTCTTTTGGCTTCATACCTGTTACTGGGAGAAAAGTACAGCATACAGTAAAGGCTGCAGTGAAAATCTGAAGTGGTGTTATAAGGCAAGAGAAGGCTTAAATAAGAACCCCGGGAATTTTATAAAACTTACCCCTGCACTGCAAGGGTTAAGTGCTCGTTTTGTCTAGGGAGCTCAAATAAAGCAGATATACTTACCTGATCCTTGGTGCCATTGCGGTCATCGCTCGTTTCTCTCCCCCTCCGCTCTGGCTGAGGAATGTTTCTTGGCGTCCTCATGTCCAGTACAAGTCAATGGACCTGCATTAGACAGGTCCTTAGGCCGCCGGAGCCCAGGAGAGAAGAGTCCGCAGAGACCGGTCTAGTAGCGTTAAGTGAGCCGCCGGACTGAGGATCAGGTAGGTACACTGTATATGCTTTATTTGAGCCCTCTAGACAAAACAAGCTCTTAACCCTTACAGTGCTGGGGTACCCCCACTGCAAGGTTGTTGTTTTTTTTTAATTCCCAGAGTTCTTCTTTCACAGCAGTAAAATATTATTCATTTTCTTTTCATGTTTACCTTTTTTTTCCTGAGGCAAGGTGTACCACTGAGTGTCATTATGGGGCCTCTGAACATTGGTGTGCTTGTAGAATCCTTCAGATATATACCAAAAACAGTCAGTAATGTTACTTTCATGGTAGTGTCTTCATAACGAGGGTGATGACATCATGAAGCGTGCATTAGGACTTCACAAGATTTGAGCTTCCTGAAATGAAAAAAATGCAATTCTCAGAGGTACATATAAATACTGGCACGGTAGGGATTTCTAGGATCTGCAAAAATGTTGATTTTTTTAAACAGTATTAAAATCATAACTCAAACAAATGAATACAAACCCTGGGGAGCTAGTAAAAATCAAAACTACTATATATAAATAACATTTATTCCTCAATGTACTCTATGCGTATACTGTGCAAAGCTAAGAAAGCTGATTAAAAACAAACTTATGTTATGGGTAGAGTGTAGGCATTGCATCATCTTAAAGTATATGTCAAGGCAAAATAAAAATAAATAGATATATATACTAGGGATGCACCGATACCGAGTATTTGGGCGAGTATGGGTACTCGCCCAAATACAATACCAGAACCGGTATCAGGAAGCCGGGCAGTGAGTCATTACACGCCACCCGGCTTCCTGATTGGCTGGGAAGCCGGCTCTATGCTCCCTCGTCACGAGTCATTGCATGCCACCCGGCTTCCTTAATGGGAAAACCCGGTATCGGTGCATCCCTAATATATACAGGGGGGAATTTATCAAACCTGGAACAGATAACATCTGGAGCAGATTTGCACTGCAACCAATAAGCTTCTCTATTTAATTTTCAAATCTTACCTGAGCAAACTGAAGGGAGATGCTGATTGGTTGCCATGGGCAACTGCTCCAGATTCAGTCTGCTCCAGTTTTGATAAATTCCCCCCACAGTATATCTCTGCAATACATGCACATTTACCTGTGTTTTATCCCTTTAAAGACCCTGCAAGTACAGAAATTACATGATGATCTGTCAGAAATTCACTCCGCTCTCAAAGAGACCCTGACGCCAGACCATTCATTTTAACAAACATATTCCTTTAAGAGTATATGTCCATTCAACGTATTTTATGCACATTATTCATTTTAAAGCCTCCCATGTATGCATACAAAAACCCTACAGCTGGGTGCTATTTGATATGAGCAGTCCCAGCAGACTCAGAGCTGTCAATCAAGTTGCACTCTATAGCAAGGGTGGGCAATTCCGGCCCTCCATCTGTGGTGAAACTACAAATCTCATCTTGCATCTACTTCTGAAAGTCATGCCTGTGGCTGTCAATGTCTTACAATACCTAATGGACTTATAATTCCACAACAGCTGTAGGGCTGGAGTTGCCCACTCCTGCTCTTTTTAGTAGGGATGCAGCGATATATCAGCCGCCGAAACATATCGGACGAAAATAGCACTTTTTGCATAATGCCGAAGTGCCATTTTCCTGCCGATACATCGGCGCATCCCTAATTTCTTTCCTCCCCGCAGGGCGCTGCTCTGTGTCCCAGCGGGGAAGACAGAAAGTTTGACAGCCTGCCGAGCGCTGCAGGAGGAGAGCGCTGTGAGTGGCCGGCGTCTCTCCTCCCACACCGCTCAGCCGCCTATCACAGTCCAGCAGAGCGGTGTGTGGGCGGAGACAGGCTGCTCTGTCACAGAAGGCTGAGCTCTCCTCCCTACACCGCTCGATCAGCCTCCTGTGACAGCTGTCAGAGAGGAGAGCAAGGTACACACACTCAGCGATCAGTGATCGCTGAGTGTATTGTACATAATTGAGGACATGGTATGTTAACTATATCCTCAATTATGAATGAATGAATGGGAGTGATCTACATCACCTCCTGTTCATTCATAGTTGTAGTTATAGTAAACATGCCATGTCCTCATGTTATCAATGAACAGGAACACTCATAGAGGTTTCCTGTTCATTGATAACAGGGCACACAGAAAAAGAGATTGAGGACTTTGTGTCCTACATCTCTTTTTCTATTTTAAAAGGGAATATCAGGAGTCTGTTTAGACCACCAATATTTCCCTGAAGCCCCTGAAAGTAATGTAAAAAATATTTAATAAAAAATGAATTAATAAATAAAAATATAAAAAATTAAAAAGCTTATAAAAAATAAGGCCTGAAATCTTTTTTTTTATTTCGGTTTCGGTTTAAAAATTTCCATTTCGGTGCATCTCTACTTTTTAGTATTCTCCATTACTTCTTCCCCAGGAGCTACATAAAAGAACATGAAGGGTGGTGGGGGTGGGGTCGTAGGAGCTGGGCCAGCACAAAATGTAATTCCAGAAGAGAGTTATGATGTGCAAGGAGAGAGGCGGCTGTGCTAGGGAATTGACAAGTCAAATCTTTTAGCACGTTTAAAGGCCCATTGCGAGTTAATAAAAAATATATGGATAGGAAAAACACTGCAAGTAGAAATGTAAAATACTATGGGGTCTATGAATGATGGGTTCACCCAGCATATAGTTAGGCGAGCCCCATTTGTGCAACTTACAGCTGCTAGATGGAGTTGGAGGGGCATATGAGTCCCCTTTCTTTTTCTGTCCTTTTACCAGCACTTAGTTGGAGTGGCATTAAAGGACGGGTGAGCATGTGCTAATGGCGATGAGTGGTATTAAAGCTAAAATGCCGCTGTGACCAGCACAAGCTGCTTGTAAAAACACTTTAGAAAAAAAACATAAAATGTATATTTAGTAATTTATTCCTATGCCATTTGTGATTCTAAAGCTCGCATTAAATGCCTCCAATTCAGCAGGAATCAGCCAAAATTCGAGCTGTGGGTGGCCCCATCGGCAGCGCATGGCTGGGATAATGAAGCGATTTATCCCATGGGCTGAACAAGAAAAATATAAAAGTGTACGGCTAGATTACATATGTGTTGTTTTTAAAAGATAATGTAATATTTGATTAGTCACAACAGGTAAATATAGTGCATTTTATAAATGTTTAAATGTAAGGAAGTAAACGGTGTCTGATATCACCCTTGTTATTGCTGGCTCCATGTGAATGGAATTTCTCTTCTATAAAGATGGGTTAGGTTCAGATTAGGGCTGCCTACATTAAACAAGCATTCATTTCATAATCAAAGTCGTCTGTGTCCTGGAATTTATTGGTGTCTTGGTCTTTATTTGTAGGCAGATTGGAGTTGCCTATGTGACGGCTACCAGTACGGCTCTGGCCACAGCAGTGGGCCTTAATCTGTACACCAAGGTATGGACAACGCCAATTCAACAACAAAGGAAACTGGATTTCTGTCTGTGTAATTTCTAAGATTAAATGGGAATTAATGTTAAAGAAAAAACAAAGCAATTGCTTTTCCAGATAAATACAAACAAAAACTTGCAGCATGCTTTGACAGCGTATTTAAAGATTGTTTTTTGCATACTTTCTTTATTAAAGTGACATTAAAGGCTAATCCCCCACCCCCCCCAATGTTAGTGTAGGGACTTACCTTAAATCATGCCTCTTAATCCGATCATCTTCTTTAGTGTAGTTTTCAGATGCGGGTCTCTGATCCAGCGCTGACTTCTCTGTCCTCCTCTTCTCTGATGTCCCACGGTGTCTGTGCAGGTTCACGCTGCTACATAGACCTACCTTGTGTCCCTCCTCGTCTCCCGGCCGAACATCTGAACTGCGCATGCGCCTGCCCCAAGATCCTTTACGGCCGCCCGAGACTTTTCAGATGTTCGGACAGGCGTGCGCGGCGAAGACACAGGTAAGTTAAAACCTGTTTTTAAAAGGTTTTTTTAAAAAAGTTTTTGCATATATCTACTGCTTGCTAGCAGTAGATATATGCAAAAAAACATGCTGAGGGTTTAATAACCCTTTAAGTTAACAACTAAAAAAAAAAAAAAAGTGAAATCCTGCTTATAAATATTTCATATTTATCAGTTGAAGCCACCAGGTGCAGCAGTTTGTTGTACATTGTATTGGGCTGTTGTAAGCAGGTCTGAATATCAGGCGCTCATGTTGCACGCATAAATGAGCCAGAGAAAGAACATGCCCTCCCCCCTTCTTTCAGCTCTACAGATAAGGCTCTCAATGGATTTTTGGTTAGATGTAGACTGCCAGAGATGCAGTGCTGGGCTTTACATTGGCATACAGAACTCCACAAGTAATGTTATTTTTATCATGTGACTACAGCAGGAAGACCCTCCCATTTAGCACTTAGGATGTAGGATAATGAGGGGAACCCATGTGTGAGTTTCAGTGCTAATGACAGTTTAACCATTGATGAGATACTTAAAGAGGAACTTGTTTAATGTCTCCCAAAACAGTTACTTTTAAGGCATGCCAACTATCAAGGTTGGCAGTGTGCTTATTTCAACTCTCAACCAAACTTTCAAGCCCTTATAGGGCTGGTGTCATAGCTGATCACATGTGCAGATGGCACCTTCCTTGGCTGTAAGGGATAGAAGGTTGTAGTTCTGCCTTAAAAAGAGTGCTGTGCATCCAAAATCATTTTTGGGGTGCAGCGATAAATATAAGACTGTGAATGATCACATGAGTAAAGTAAAAGTGCCCATACACCTTACAATTATCTGCAGATTTTCTGTGGTCAGATGGAAAAAGTGCAACAGATTGGGCCAGGTGGAGATTACTCCATCCACACAGTCAGGCCCCGTTCACATATATCGACATACCTTTTCAGCAGCCGGGATAGCGCGACGTTCCAGCGACGATCCAGCGACGGTAGCGCGACCTTCTCCGTCGGGCTCCATAGAAAAAAAACAAAATCGCGCAAAAAAGCCGAAAAGGTCCAGTAGAAGCGACTGGCGACCGCGACGAGCGACGCGCGACATGGAGTTAAGACAGCTCCATTGAATATCATTGGCCGGCGACTTCTCGCGATATCGCGCGGCAAATCGCTATATGTGAACGGGGCCTTAAGTGTAGATGGAGGAATCTGTTGCACTTTTTCCATCTGACCACAAAAAATCTGCAGATAATTGTAAGGTGTATGGCCAGCTTAAGCCTACCCTTCCACTTAACACTCACTTTCAGCAAGTGTACTATCATGCAGATATAAAAGCCCAACTCCATTGAAAGCTTTGGATTTGACAGAGTGGGGAAGGGATAGGGGTAGTGACTTCTGTTAGGTCCTCATGGCTGTCTGGGCCCCCACTGAGATTTACCCTCAGTTTCTGCCCCAAAGAGGGTGTCACCAGGACAAGAAGTATAGGGAAGGCTCTCCAGAGAGGACACGGCAATAAATCTTAAATGTAGGGTCTAAAGCTTCTCCACTTTGCACAAAAAAAAACAACCCTTTTGCGCAGATTCAGGAACCTAGCTCAGAGATCTCACCAATAGTGCCCCCAAAAGATAAAAGAAAGGAAAGAGGTGGCTTTACCTCTTCAGAAAAGAGATCAGGTTTGGGCGTATTAACCCTCTAATGTACCAAATGTTATTTTTAGCAGTTATGTTTTCCAATAGAGGATATTCATGCGTCAGTAAAGACATAGTTATATGTTTACTTTCAGGTTAGACTTTTATCTACATTAACAGGTAACCACATAAGATGTTTAAGTAGTCTGTTTGTCAGTTAGAAAAGTCTTCATCTGAGTAATACATTAATGGTCTCTATTCATAACACTGCAGAGCCAGCGAAAAAATAACACCTACATTAAAGTTTTACATCAACCAAGTTTTTCCGACCACTTAAAGGATCACTAATCTAAAACACAGGTCGGCTTATGTAAAGAGCTACAAAGTAAGATGTGAAATGTATATGGGAAGGTTATAGAAATGTTCCTATGTACAGCAGGCTTTCTGTATTAAATATTACCGCTGCAGAAAACCTTGAGAACCCAAAACTGCAGAGAAATGTCAGACAAGGTGCACAGAGAGACAATACAAAGATAGCAAGCCTTTTTTAAATAACAGAATGCTATGTATTCAGTGTGTGACGCATACAAATCCCCCCTCTACTGGTTAGACGTAGCACTGCGCTAATACCAATCCCCAGCTCATTCTGAGTGCATCTGTTTTATGATAAAAAAAAGGGTCACAAGTCTAAATCTGATGCAGGTGTGGGCAAAAATGTTGCTTTTGGCAGGCAGGGATCGCAGACAAAAATAAAACACGAAACCAAATATATGACAAATCCATCACTAAAAATATGCAGCCAGATTGAAAAGAGTAGCCTAATTCAGCTTGTCCTTAGCTGGATAAATCTACCCCAGCTGATTGTGCACAGGGGTATACTGTACTAAAGGTCACATAAAAAGTTCTGGTACCGCCGCTTGGACACCTTAGTGCTTAGAGGTGTCAATTTTTCTGAATGCCGAGTCTAGTGCTGTGTGCTGGGGTCCTTTGTGTAATTTGTAATTTTGTAATATTCCCCCTCCTACTGGCTAGACATAGCACTGCACTAATATAAATCCCCTAGCTCTTTCTGTGTGCATCTGTTCCCTTTGGGAACTGTTTTATGACAGTGCCAACCATAAGGACTGTTTTATAAGGCCCCCCC